AGCAAGACACCCCCAAGGCTGTCATCTTATCACCACACCCGTCTCTGCCGAGCAGGACACAGACAGGAAGGAGAGGCAGACAGAAGATCACTGTGCAGGAAGCAGAGCAGGCCAGCCAGATGCGGGTGGGTCAGCTGCGAGGCCTGAGTGGGGGTAGGAGAGCTTGTGTGGCAGGGGCTCCCAGGGGGGTGACATGCTAGCCACGGCCTCTGTCCTCCCAGGGGATTGCAGCTCTTTTGGCAGGGGGTGTTGTTGGTAATCCTGGGAGGGGGACCAGTGGCCAGTGGCCAGCCCCACTGGTGACACAACTATGTTCTGTGTCGAAACTTTTCCAAATGCTGCGAAGGTGTTTACTTGGCCTGCTGGAAGGAAGGACAGATGAGGGACCCAGGCTCCCCTGGGCACACATAACACATCTGGAGCTGAGGAATAATGAAGCATTCAGAAACCGGGGCGCCCCCAGAAACGGCAGTGTGAATGGGGGAGGACCCAGCGGCAGGTGGTGCCAGGCGCCCCACAGTGGAAACGGGTGCTATATTGGGATCTGAGGTGGTACAACCACCCTGCCCCAGACTCCTGTAAAAATAGTAGGGATGCTCATGCCTCTAGTATGATTCAGCCGGTTCCCACTGAACCGGAGACTAGACCCACAGCCTCCTCGCACCTTCTTCTCTTCCTGTAACTCTCCCCTGTGCAGCTTGGGATTTCTTGGAGATGTTTCTATAAAAACAAAACTTCCATCATCACTGCCGTCACCGTCACTGCTTTACAGTAATAAAATCAGATGCCTCGGTGACTTCCTGTAAGCTTTGGACCAGATTCGTCATGCAGCGTCTGTGTTTGAATGGCAGTGACTCACCCATGATGGCACCATGAACTCTGACCCCACAAGGGGAGGAGGGACACAGCAACCTGACTTTGGCCTGTTCTGTGATGTTCTTCTGTTGACACCTGTAGCTACTGAAGGCAAGGAAAATGGGACCGGTGGGGTGTATTCAGAATCCACACTAGCACATGAAGTTTTGGAAATCCCAAAGCATCCTGTTATTTTCTTAGGATCCTGCTATTCCTGTGGGCTAGGAAAAATGTCTTAACAGAATTCATCCTCTTCACCACCTCCTTACCCAGCCCATCCTCCAGAACCAAAACCAAACCCACCGGCATCTCTCTTCTCCATGTCCCCACACACGTCCCCACCCTACCACGTCCCTGCCCGCTGAGGCCCTTAGAATTTTCCCGTGTGGAGTGAGCAGGAAGATGGGTGGCGGCCACTCACGTCCCTGCTGGGCCTACAAGGGTGCAGGGAGAGGCCATCCCACACCAGCAGGATGGGTGTGAGGAGTGCTACAGGGACCCAGCCTGCTGCTGCTATGCTCAGTGGTTAGGACGGAAGCCTTGGGCACCGGGCATCCCCGGGGGTCCTCTTGTCTGCAGGAAGAGGTGCCTCTCACATCTGGGCCGAGTGCTGCGGTAGCTCAGGTTTGACTATCTCCCCAGGGTGCCAGCTGGGCCACTTGCCTTGGTGCAGGGACCTCTGGGGACCTTATTTCTGCTTCCATCAGCCTCTGAGCATACCTGTGGCCTGGTCCTCACCCAATAAAGCCTGTGAACCGCAAGGTTGCTGAGCATCCTGTGTGCCATGGCTGCAGCTGCTGCGGCATCCTCGTGCATGATGCCCCAGGGCCACGGCTCAGATACCGCATCTCAGCCCAGCAGGGCCAGTTCTGCCAGTGCGTTGGGTGTGTGAGAAAGTTGGAGACTCTCAACCTAAGGAAGAGCTGTCCACTCTGAAAGAAAGATGGTCTATAGAGAGAGTAAGTCTACGTACGGTTTCACACAACGGAGATCTTTCTCCCCCTCACTTGAGTTTTAAAATAATAGATGATCTCCCAGACATACAGAATGTTCTGTGCTGTCTTCAACCAAGAGAAGAGTAAAATTCAGAGCAAATAAAGATTTCAATATAAAAATACAAACTACAGAAGTCCTGGAAGAAAACATAGTTTTAGAATATTGAAGACAACTTCAAACAGGAAGCTTAGAAGCCATAAAGGAAAAAGACGGAAAATATTCAACGTCAGGACCATTTGTGTCAAGTGCAAGTAAAACTAACACGGACGAATATGATTATGAGAAAGGAAAAGACAAATTACCATAACCATAGGAAAAGATCAGAAATTACTGGTAATTGGGGAGATACAAATTGAAACAAGGTATGTATTTTTTGTCTGTCAGATTGGTATAAATTAAAAGGGCGAGTTTCCGGCGATGACAAGGGGGCGTGCGAACATGCCCTCTTCCTGCAATTACCCAGTGTAGCCTTT